CTAATGTATTATCACCAAAAATTAAATATTAATATTTATAAATACTTTGGGTGGCTTAAATGGATAATCTGTTGGAAATTGAATGGCAAGAGTGAATACGCCACCAGCGAATGGGCTATCATTCTATGTATAATAGATAATATATAACTAGATTAAAAAGAATTAAAAAGATATGAGTTTTCATAGAGGAAATACTTACAGGTCCAATAATCGTAGCTTGCCATTGATAAAGATCCTCACCAAGAGGACCAGCACTATAAAATGCAGTATCGGCTTGCTCCATTTCTTTCAGTTCCTAACAATAATGAGACGAGTATAATATGCCACAAAAAGGTTTAAGGTTCATTAATAGAATCATTAAGGTTCAAAATAATATTATTATTATTAATATTAATACGTAGCAAACATAATCTTAATTTATGAACTATCTTACTTTATTGATTCTCTTAAGAGCCATTTTGAATATTAAGAATGTTGCAATTAATTACAATCTGTGGATGTCATGTTTATTATACTTTTTTTTTAATCGTATATGGCAACAATAACTATGTAAATGGCAGGTTTATAAACTTGTTAGTGTGATACGGTTATCAAAATTAAACAAGTACTTCGGTAGGCGTACCCCGGCAGCTGCGCTGATGCTACAATATTCACACACTAGCAGTTGTAAAATCTCATCCCAAGATATCAATATTAATAAAAAATAAAGTTTCACTTACTAAAAATAGTAAAATGAATTTCTGATTTTAGGAAATAGTTCTAAATCGGATTTTTTTTAAAACAAAGTATTTTTGATTTTATGCAATTAATAAAGCAATGTAATTTCTTATTTTTGATTCTTGATTATGCATTGATTATGCAATATCAAAATTCGCGCACACTATAATGCATATTAAATTCCAGTTTTTGTTTATTCGAAATTCACAAAGAAATTATTGCATAACCGATATATCTCTTAACCTTTATATAACAATTAGTACCACATCTTGAATAAATTATTCCTGTGTAATTGATATTTTTTTCGATTAAGAATCAAAATAAAAAAACTTATCGGTTTAGAGTCGATTTAAGTTAGTACTAGTAGTCATTAAAGCATGATTTCCTTTACTTATTTTCTTATATCCAAAGAAATTATTGAAAAAATAATATACAATCTCAATTTTTGATTTGTTTCATAGAAATAAAATTATAAAAACGATCCGTTCAAATCATTATTATTCATAAAAGCCTATTCCTTATTAGAACGGATCAGTGTACAAAATTTCTGGGTGATATAACCTGCTTTTTTTGCTACTTTTGTGCCGGCATTTTTTTTTTTTTAGTCTGAGGTTTCAGAAATAACGATTAATGAAATTTATGAAAAGTCAAACCGGATATTGTTTTGATTAAACCGAAATTTCAGGCATTTTACAATATGTTTGTGTTCTGGTACGGATTGATATTATACTCCCATATCGTAGATCGTCCGAATGAAAGATTACGTATCTATTTATAAAGACCAATCAAAATTTTGTATTACACCTGCATATTTTATTAAAAAATTCAATTTTTATACCGTCATTAGAAGAAACTATATCAGATATATATACTTAGTTATTTAATAATTGTAGATTAAAGTTATACTAATTTACAAAAACATACCCAAAATGTCAAATGACAGAAATTTAATTTTTACCATCAAAAGAAATAAGTAATTTATATAATGAGAAAAGAGTTAAAGGAATAAAAATTTTAAAGATTCTTGATTTAATATGACCAGCATTTTGTGGAAAAGTAAATCCTGAAGAAGTGATCAACTGGTGCTTGATTAATAAAAACAATTCAAATATTCAAATTATTATTACATATTATTATCGTTTTGGACGATGGGTAAAAAAGATGAACGAAAGGCATTTAATTATTACCAAAAATCTGTTGATATTGGTTATAATAATGGAATATTTCAAGTTGGTTATTGTTACCATTACGGAATTGGAATTGAGAAGGATGAGCGTAAGGCATTCATTCATTATCAAAAATCTGTTGAAGATGAAATATTTCAGGTCGGTTATTGTTATCATTATGGAATTGGAGTAGAAAAGGATAATAATAAAATGTTGATATGGGTTATGCTTGTGGAATGCACAATCTTGGAGATTGTTATCGAAATGGAATTGGAGTTGAAAAGGTTGAGTGTAAGGTATTTAATTATTATCAAAAATCTGCAGACATGCTTTACAAAGATACTCAAAATTTGAATTGCTAAAAATTAGCTTTTTAAAAGTGCTGATAAAATACTAATTTTTGTACTTTTTTAGCATTTTCTTACTATAATTTTAGTATAAAAAAATATTTGCAAATTTTATAATAATAAAATACTAATATTTACAATATATTAATAATAATAAAAAACTAAAAATTATTAATAAAATAGATGATTAATAGCATTGATAAAGTAATAATTTTATAATAAATTAGTAGAATTGCTAATTTAAACTAATAAATTATTTTATTTTGTTTATATTTAGCTAAATTTTACAAATTTTAAAATTTTAAATTTTTGTAAAGTGGGTGATTAAGTTGGTTATTATTATTATAATAGAATTGGAGTTAAAATAGATAAACATATAATATTTATTTATTGTCAAAAATCTGCTGAAATAGGTTATACTTGTGAAATACACAGACTTGAAGATTATTATCAAAATTAAAAAGAATGAATATAAAGTATTCATATATTATTAAAATCTGCTGAGACAGGAATACTAACAGAACTATATAGGTTTATTTACTATTAAAAATTTATTAATATAAGCTGCTATCAATAGAAATTAAGCAAATCTACATTTAAAAAAAATTAATACCTTAACTTTTACAGTTTATATCTTGATAAATTTTAAAACTATTTTGATTATCTAGTGTTCAAAAGTAAGCTTAGATCATATGCTTTTTTCTGAATATTAATCTATTAAGATAGCTTTAAAATTTATTGAGATATAAGCTTTTAAAGTTAAATATTAGTTTTTTTAAATGTAGATTTGCTTGATTTCTATTAATAATAGCTTATATAGATATTATTAATAGAATATTTTAGGTTAGTAATTATTATAACAAAGAAATTAGTATTTTTTTTTTTACTATTTAAAGAGGGAGTTTTATGTTCTAATATTTATTATTTAAGACTTACATATCTATATATAAATAGGGAGATACTACATTTTGCATATAAATAAAGCTACAATTAGCTACATGTACAATTTTAGTTATTGTCTATTTTAAAAGTTCTGTTCAAAGATTACCTACTAACTGCTATGTCTAAGATCTGCTTGTAGATCTCCTATTTAAGCTTTCTGATTTTCAATACTTTTTCTATAATACCAACTTAGATAACAGATATATACAAAACTATAGACTACTTTATCTACGAACTAGACCTCTACTCTAAAATATTCTATGCTTATTTCATAGTATATTCAAGGATTTGTACTCTTGTTAATGTTTATACAAACCTAGTTTCTACTATAGCTCTCTACTAGTAGTCCTTAAATATTTCACAAGGTAGATCTTTTCAAATCTAATTAGCTACTAACCAGATTAGTATTACTATTTCTCTTTGTAAAATGAACTTACTCATA